AGTGAAACACTGAACCATCGCAGAAACAAACAAAAAAAACTACATTTTACTCACCAAGCTGATCCTCTAAGAGATGCTCATTTTAAAACCATATCAAAACTTTCCTGCTTCCAGACCCCAAAAGTAGGTCTATGACTTTGTTTCAAGATAAAACTTGCTCTACATATTCAAGTCTGGGCTTGATGCTTTGATTTATTTTTTTATCATACATTTTGCCCAGGATTCCCAGATGCAACTAGATCACCTCTCAGAATCAAAGCTTTGTGATCCAACAACCCCACACTCTCACAGGCTATGGTTTATTAGAAGATTTAGAAATTCAAATTTTTCTGAGACTACTTGAAATTGTGTTGTCTGAGTTAGATAACATAAAGACCAAGCTTTTGTGCAGATGACACAACACGATGTATGAATGAGGAGAAAAGCACCTCATTATAGCATAGAAGAGGATCTATGATGTGCAGATCTATTTCTATTGGTCTTGCAAACTATTAATGTGCATAAAACGATATAATTTGTAATACTGGACTCGTCGAAATTATGTGGCTATAAAAAAAAAATCTACACTAGACAACATTTACAATAAAAAAATGGAGACTAAAAGCTGTTCTATTTAGTAGTAGTTTGTACAAAGTAACAATTTTTCAAAGATTTTTATTATCTGATTAAACAAACAAAATAAAAAAAAAACAGTTGCTTCATAAATCCAATAATCTCTTTAAGACCCCCCAACAGGCCTAATGCTACTGTACTCTGGTAAAAGGAATTAAAATGAAATGAACCAAGTTTTAATATGAGCAGTTATGTATTGCAAGCCTTTTGGCAGTAATTACATAAATAAAGGCTTGTTATCCACTTCCTTGGACGTGGGTCATCATAGAGTGGGTTCATTATATATCCATAAAGAATTCATGCAGAAAGAAACTTAATTAAATATCAAAGATGATCCCAAATCTGTCTAAGATGCTCCAACATCAATTATGCAGATATGAATAAGGATGCTTGCATTGTGCTTTCTAATTTCATTTCATTCATGTAATATTTTGGTTGAGCTGAGGCTGCAGTCAGTTAAGTGTAGAGAAGCTTTATGTCCTCATATTGCAGAGCTGAGAAGTTGCTGTTTTCTGCTTATGATGTCAAAGAGTCATTATGGAGAGCAGGATGTAACTCTCTTCACCTGCTTGTCAGATACGCTTTGATGGATTGTCCTACATTATTCCAAGATTAAATTTGTATATAAAGCACAGATATCTGTTTAATGTTTTTCAACTTCTTTTTTTTAGCTTTCGTGCAATAGTAGAAGAAAGATATATTTACTTATTTAACTTTTCTACAAGGTCATTGCAATATGACTTCCATCCATGACAGGTAACCGCTTTCCTTAGCTTTCAAAGACCACTTTCAAAAGCTTAAGATAGAGAATATATAAGTATTAGAATACTCAAATTCAGATAGTAAGGTGAAAAAGTCACTAGATGAAACTTCCTCCAACATTCGACACTTTATTCATGGGAAGAGGGATTGATAAGCTGACAACCTAAGAGGACAAATATATTTTCAGGATCATGTTGGTAGCCAGTAAGAAAGCTATAACTAGGAAGTAGCTGAAAACAGAGGCTCCAACAAGGAATGATTGGGTTGAAGTAATGCATGATATGTATATACAGTAATGGAAAGGCTAACTTTTTCATTGAGGTTAGAATCTGGCAAGTTCAAGAAAAATTGTAAAACTGGGTGAAATTCATATCACCAGTGAGATCAGACTTTGTTGTATGATTAAAATTAGGGCTGAGAACCTCCTATTGCCACACAGTTAGTGTTGTATAGTTTTAGTTTCTTTTATCTGTTTTTGTTGTTTTGTTTTTTTTGTTAAAGAAAAAAAAAAAGTGTATTTCTATTGGAGTGGACACTTGTAGATATAAATAAGGAGGAAAGGAAGTGTTCTTTCTTTCTCACATGAAGGCACGCGTGTTAGGATAAAATGGTAAGATTACCAAGAATATAATTGTCATCTAATTCATCCATAGACTGGTTGTGAATTTAACTTGGTTATGTTAAGTCTATGTCGGAAATGGATGTGTTGAATGTATAAGATCTTTGAAATGCACTCAATAAAAATTTTATAAAAAAAAAAAAAGAAAAAGTCACTAGATTCTTGCTTAAGCAAAGATATGTGAATCACAGGAGCTCTGCTAACCTTTGGCATATAGTAAGGAAATGTAAGTATCACATCTAAAGCAGAAAACATTGGTCTGGAAAATCATCTTCCATCACATCCTCATCCAGACAGCTGAGTATGTGTGAGTCATTCATCTGGAGGAAATGGCAAGCAGCATGTTTTATGGGAAAAAACTAAACAAAAACAGCATGGTGGGGTCAGTGTGATGCTCTAGGCCGTGTTCTGCTAACCGGTCTTAAGTTGTTCTCATCCCTATACAGAATCCTTTATAGCAGAAGAATAGTCTGATCATACTTTGATTTGCTGGATTATCTGTCTGTTTATTTTTTTATGTGCAGTATTTAAAAAAAAAAAAAAGTTTGATGCACAAAGGCTGAAAATGCATGAGCTGTTTGCAGATTTTCATAGAATGGGAACCTGTCTTTATATGGCATCCCTTTTAAATATATGTGATACTAGGTTAAAAAATAAATAAGGCAGTTTGTTATAGGCGTCTCTCCGAGGGACAGTTATGTCTTCTAAATGATTGAAACGCGACATGTACCAGTGTGCAGCGTGTGTCTCACAGATTGATCTGGGAATGTCTCAAAAGTTCAGACTTTGCTTCAGGCTGGAAGGCTCATTCTGAGCATATTCAGGCTGACAGATACTCAGACGGTGCAAAAAGACGAAGAGCAAGTGGCACAATGATATGTTTATTGAGAGGCTTTGGATAATAGAAAAAATAGGCGAGGCTGCTGCTGGAATGTTACAACCGTTGATGGGAAACATGGACATCGATCTCCTTACCTAAACATTCACTCACTCATAAACTCACAGACCAAACACTCTCCATCCGATCGCTGCTTTGAGAGAAAAAACTTACGGCAATGCACGGGACGAGACGGTATCACAGTTTCTACAAGTTCAAATCTACATGAGAAAAATTCACAGTCACATATGAGGGAGGTTTTTTCTTCTTCTTAGGCACAGCAAAAGCAATAAGATGAGCATCTTAACGACGGCAAAATTATGTCAAATGTAAAACACGTTTGATAAACCCCGAAGCACCGAGATGAACTGAGTTTTTACCATGATTCTGTCCAAATGTTTAGTTTTCATTCTTAAACATGCAAACCTGCACTTAAAACAAGCACCAGGTATCTGTACTTGTCAGAAAGTAAGATCTCAGCTCATCTGGTTTTCCTTTTGAATTCAGCTCTTCATATACATACAAACATTTAGGAGTTTGCAAAACATGGGACTAAAACATTTAATATAAATGTAATCCCAGGTCAGTCAAAGGAATGGCTATTAAAGCATTTTCAGTACACACATACCTCCACTGGTCTCCTCCAGTGCTTTAGATAAACAGATACAAGTTAATCACAGACAATATCACTGACAAATAATTACTGGAGCTGTTTTGGCTCCTTTTTCTTAATTTGCAGTTCAAGTTCAGAGAGTTCACTTGCTTGTTCATTCCTTATTTGAAAGCTCAGTCTTTGGATAACCTTGTGCTCAAATGAAAGAGTCTGAACCTCTCTTGGTCCCCCCCCCCCACACACATTGAAGTGCACCTACTTCAGCAGCTGGACTGAGAAAAACTAGATAGCTCTTTGACAGGATGTAGCACACATTTGTAGCCTTGCACTCTATCGAAGAGCGCGGCCGAGTTATAAGCTGGTGTGTTTTTTGTATTTTTTTTTTCCATTTGTGTCACAGGAAGCAAGCACATTTGTTTCTGTGGGAATATGTTTGTTAGTTTGTTATTTACTCCAGTAGCCTAAGGGAGTCACACAATCAAACAAGGAAGCATTGAGGCGAAGAGTTTCGGAGTATTGTGACAACACTGAGAAGGCAGAAAACAGAACGTAGCCAAACACTGAGAAATATTGCTGGCATTGAGGAGTCGGTTCTTACACAGGTACTAATCTAGGAGACATATATCTACGGACTTGTTTGCTTTAAAAGTTGAATTATTAACGTCTTCCAGAGATTACACAACTTGACACATTCGTTGAGGTGGGGGAAACCCGTTTACTGGACTTCTGGTGCATTTGTATCATATCAGAATCATAGTATTTATCTATCATTTTGGACTTGAAGAAAATGCAAAAGTACTAACTCTTTTACATGTAAAATTAAATTGCTCTACAATAGCTAAACAATGATCTTTGATTCTGTCAAAACTTTTCAAAAATGTAAAGAAATAAATATTTTCTTAAATTATCCAAGAAGTTGAGGATTACCTTTCTACATGTCTAACACTAACCTGCATAAATTTATCTCCAGCTTTGCAAAGCATTCAAACTGGATGTGAACAGTAAACTACAGATTGGTATTTATGAATTATAAATTTATAAAAAATGTATTGATTTAATCCAATCGTAAAATTTTATAATTTCATACAACACTGTGAATGTACTCAGTCTGCACCAAGGAAGATAAAACACACATAATTGTGTTTTTCCAACGGTCAGAAATATTCCCATACAAAGCAAGGTAAAAGTTGCAGTCTTTCAGCCATCTGACCAGCAATGTGCAGCAACTGACTAGGACGGCTGGGGGGTAAGGTGCTTTTTCTTTTTAATTAAGCAGGAGAAAATGCTGGTAACTTAATTTTTCTTTGACCTCTTGTGGGAAATACATCAGGAGTTATCCAACTATCATTTCTAAAAAAGTGACTGGATGCACATTGGCAAATATTATAATAACTAGACAAGCTTTACAGACCAATTACTTCATATGAACCCTGTTCTTCAGTGTTTAAATTTCCTTATGGATCTAAAATTAAATCCTCCTTTTTCTCACCATCCGTAAAAAAAAAAAAAAGACAACTAACTTTTGGTTTGTCAGAAATCTGATAAGTTTTACAAAAACATCAGACCAGTAAAAGGAAGTCCCCTACCTACCTTTATCTGTCCTGATAAATAAACAAGAAAAGGACAGAAGACACCATTATCTATGTTCTCATTTATGGACGGGTAATAAATTCAGTGTGTACTCACAGTTATCTGGGGATTTTATGAGCTGCATCCCTAAAAGGATCTATTCCCTGCTTAAGGAAAAGGTGAACAACTTCTCTATATAAATAAATAATACTTAAAAGATTTTCATTAAACACTTTTCTAGACATAGATGAACAAATTCCTGATATAGAGGGAACTTGAGGCATCTTCTTTTTTTTCATTCACGTTCCCACTCTGCTTCTGTTTTGAATGTCTGAGCCAGTAGCTAAATTAGCCGCCACAGTGATAATATTGCTTTTTACACAGCAAATTAAGATAAAAGGCTTGATGCTTAATGGCAAAGAATTTAGTCAAGACACGTAAATTTGAGATAAACGTTTGATCTTTCTGCATTATTCACAGTGGAGATGGCTTTATGGCGAAACTTGTGGGAGGGTTTATTCCTGCATGAGAGACAGCTGTGTTTGTTTGCTGCGTGAGCCTGGATGTGCTGCTTCCAGTGTTTTCTAGTGAGCGTCTGTGTCAGCTCACCAGATATTTTGATTTTCACCACAGGGATTTTTCAATCCCATAATGCACTGGGAGTGGCGCCAAATGAGGAAGCAGCATTAGCTGCAGCTATGGGTAACTGATCACAGTTTGTGCAAAACAAAAACAGAAAAGGTGTCTCTTTTTCCCCTTCCTCCAGCTCAGAATATTGTTTAGCTGTCCATCAGCAAGTGTTGGTTCCAGAAGAACTAATCCCAGACGTCTGTGCGTAACATACGCACATGACCTCAGTGCAAAAGCAAATAAGACGGACCCAAAGGAAACTGGCGACTGATTTAAAAACAGTGGTTCTGAGATTCTTTCCTTCATATTTCTGAAAAGATGGAGAAAAATAAACATTTAAAAATTCAGGATTTACAATAATTTCTCTTCCACGTTTTTAATCAATCAGACAGGAGAAAGATTGTTTGAATTTTTTGGGATCTTTCAAATTTCCTTCTAGATCCTTTGAGTGCTTAGAAATGTCTTTGACCTAAAGTGAATTAAGGAATATAGAAATGTATCCTACTATGCAGCAAAGGTTCGAGATTGAGAGAAACAAAGTGCTTTGAGTGAAAAACGGTGGCATTAAAGTAACCACATCTAAAATCAGCACAAAATGCTTTTCCATCCACAATAAAACACATTTGGTCAAATAAATATCATGTCTGTTTATCTGTAAATCTCTAACTTCAAACATTATTTTACTTATATGCACAATTTCGTTTAAACCTCATCAGAAAATATGAATCCTAGACTTAAGCGTTGGATTGAGCAAAGGGTCATTTAATGACACTAAGTTTTGTTCCTTCAAATTATGCCAGATGGCGAAGTCTATGTCTGGTTTAAGCAGCACATGGCAGCTGCTTCAATTCCACTACATGTCTGCATATATTGATTGCTTAAATAGAAATAAAACAACATGACATAAAGACATCTTCCATTAACTTTAGCCCTTCATGAACAGGTCTGAATCAACAGCCTGCCAAACTTCAAACAACCAACCACAGTCCAATCCAGGCAGCCACCACCTTCACATGAGATTTGGAAAAAAATAAAAATAAAAAAGGTTAAGAAAGAATGTAGGCCCGTTTTTAAGGTCTTTATGTGATGCTTTAAAATAGGTTTAGTCCTGTTGGTCATTTTAGTGTCCCATGTTATTGTAATCCCAGCAGCTGGAGGCTGATTTCCCATAAACTCAGCTGCAGCTGGGGGTCAAATGTTGGCGGGGTTGTCATCTCCCTTCGCCCGTTGGCCCAGTAGCCTCCTTCGGTATCCCCATTCAGGGATGGTGACAAAGCAGCGGACAGGACAGTGGCAGCGCCCTCTGCAGGAGTCTAGGAAAACACAAATATACAAACACACACAACTATGAGAAAAAAATGATGCCAAACTAACCTTTAGCAGAAGGGCTAAAATACAAAAGCTGTCAGACAGAACAATTTTAGACGCAAGAAAACAAGGCTGGTTGAAAGTTTAAGTTTTTGTGTGAGTCTCAACATTTAAGTGGTGGATATAGAGTGGATAAAAAAAAAAAACTATTCTCCTTATCATTAGAAATACATTGAAAAAAACTTTCCAAAGCACTGCTGTGGGATAATCTGTATGTAGGAGGTGTATAGGATCCATACTTTGCTGGTATGATTAGAACTATGCATCTGTCCACAGGTGGATCCGACTAATTTACACACATTTTTACCAAGTAAAGTGATCCACCAATACTGAATGCATTGGTAATAGATTTAATCGCCAGCATTTGAATTAAAGAGTGAGCAAAGTTGCACCCATAAGGAGGAAAAACTTTGTTTACTACAAGTCCACTATGTCTATGTGCTCCTCACAGGATTTCTTTCAAATATAGTCAAAAATAAAATCAGAGGTGTTCAATATCGATGAACATTCACTTCATACAGAGCTGAACAAAGCAGGTAGTCTTTTTTACACATAAAGAAAAAGTCCTGAGGCCTGTTTACTAAACAAGATTCCACTGCTGAAGAAAAATGTTTTTACCAGATTCTTAAATATTAAGACAATTTAGTCTAAGAGTGAGATTTTCCTAAAAACACCACACCAATAATTTAGAGGAGGTTTCACCATGGTTTGGGACTGTTTTTCGGCAAATTGAACTAATAACTGAATAACAACTGAAAGGAGCATTTTTTAGGAAATTTCGGTGAAGATTCTAAGGATAATACTGGGGATTATTTTCTAGAAAAACAGATAATTATCAAACTTTAACCAAATTAAAGTGAAAATGAAGATCCGAGGACCTTCGTGAGCATAACCGGCCCTCAGGACCTTTAATATTTGAGAGATGAATGGCTTAAAATTTTAAATGTGAGGTGGCCTAGTGGTTAGGGCTTGGAATCCTGAGGTTGAGTTTGAAACCCACTCCCACAGACTGCCACTCTGGGTCTCTGATTAAGACCCTTAACCCCTGATAGCTCCCCAGGCACCCCAAAGTGACAGGCCACTGCTCCCCAAGGGGATGGGTTAAATCCAGAGGTATATTTCTCCATTTTGAGATCAATTAAGTTCAATTTATTTAATTTATTTATTCAATCAATGCAATTCACTCGCCTTCCTTATTACAGGAAAAAAAAACTTTGTGTGAATACTTAGTCCCTTTTCCATCCTTTCCACAGACTGTATGGGTCTGATTCCTTTGTAGATGTTGAAAGTTTTTCTCCTTTAGAATCATAAATCAAACCATTAGATAAAGTAGAACAATTACCCTGAAAAGGAGCCGTGCGATTAGACTTTGTGCCACACGTAAAGGCGTGTAGAGTTGTTGATATAAAGCAGTATCCACCATCCCTGGATCCACGGCGTATGAAACCACTGGAGAAGCTTCTCTCTGCATGGCCTGGTGGAGGTGGGAACTGAACAAAACCTGGGCAAGTTTGCTCTGACAGTAAGCAGCATGAGCTGAATAATGTTGGCTGAAAAAAAAACAACAACACAAAAACAAAATCATGAACACAAAGCCTGAAAGACACTTTCCGTTTTTACGACAAAGTATTGGGGCCAGGCTAGAGATTTTTTTTTCTTTTATTTCTTCTATTGAGAACAAAGTTGTAACATGATGAGAATAAAGTTGTAAAATTATGATAATAAAGTCTTAAAATTATGAGAATAAATTAATAAAATTACGAGAACAAAGTCGTAAAATTACGAGAATAAAGTTGTAAAATTATGACAATAAAGTCGTAAAATATTTAGTATAAAGTCGTAGAATTATGAGAATAAATTCGTAACATTATGAGAATTAACTGGTAACATTATGAGAATAAAGTTGTAAAATTATGACAATAAAGTCGTAAAATTATTAGTATAAAGTCGTAGAATTATGAGAATAAATTCGTAACATTATGAGAGTTAACTGGTAAAATTATGACAATAAAGTTGTAAAATTATGACAGTCGTAAAATTATGACAATAAAGTCGTAAAATATTTAGTATAAAGTCGTAGAATCATGAGAAGAAATTCGCAACATTATGAGAATTAACTGGTAACATTATGAGAATAAAGTTGTAAAATTATGACAGTCGTAAAATTATGATAATAAAGTCTTAAATTATGAGAATAAAGTAATAAAATTACGAGAACAAAGTCGTAAAATTACAAGAATAAAGTCGTAACATTATGAGAATAAAGTTGTAAAATTATGACAATAAAGTCGTAAAATTATAAGTATAAAGTCGTAGAATTGTGAGAATAAATTCGTAACATTATGAGAATTAACTGGTAAAATTATGACAATAAAGTTGTAAAATTACGAGAACAAAGTTGTAAAATTACAAGAATAAAGTCGGAACAAGATTGAAGTTTAAGTAACTCCATGACTTCTCAGTCTATTGTCCAAAGGCGTCCGCTATCAGATTCAAAAACTGATTTTTAGCACTGACAACAGTGCTATGTTGTCAGTAGCTTTCAGGAATGCTAAACCTGGAAGTTACAGCTATAGTGGCCACTGGATAAATGCTACACAGTGTTACTTTAAATGTCACCTTATAATAAAATAAAATAAAAAAACTTTAAGCTTCATCCTAGTAGATTATGGACCAATTCTTAAGATCTATTACATAAAATCCTCAAAAAATATGTTTCTGGCTGTGATGTGACAAAATGTGAGCACCCACCAGCTGTTTAAGTCATTCAGTCTGATTTCCCCGATAGAATGAGCCGATGACGACACATTGACCACACAAGAGACGTGCCCCGCCTTCCCAGAATCCTTCAGTTTATCCAGGAGGAGCCAGGTCAACAGGAAGTGACCTAAGTAGTTCACACCAAAGTGCTGCTCGAACCCATCCTCAGTTCGGCCCTCGGGAACCAGCATCAATCCAGCTTTAGACAATCAGAAATCAACAGATCTGTTATTACTTGCAACACATAAGCAAAAAAACACAGTGATAACAAACACAGATGTTGATCTTTTAATTAGACTTGGAAGAAGGAGGAAAAACATTTTTGTTTAGGGAATTATTTCAGACTATTTTCTGGTAGTTTACTCTCGGTTTCAGGCTATAGGTTCTCTTCTGTACTGCAGAATAAGGATTTATCTCAGAGTGCTTTTAAACTTCTGTGGAATGAAAGTTATCTCAGGACACTGAACCTTCAAATAAACCTGAAAACTTGGAAAACAACTTCCAGCTCTCTTGGAAGAAAAGTAAACTTTTACTTAATAGGATCTGAAAACGATCCAAGTGGTAGAACCACTTCAGCTGTGATGGAGTGGTGACCCAGCCAGGGTTAAGCTCACATCTCAGCCTTTGAAAGTGAATTTATTGTGAAAAATGTTGATAGTTTAGGAGCGATCAAGTTGACAAACAAGGAAGAATTGTTTGTGAAACTCTGATTTAGTCATTAGCTTTCCTGCATCACCACCATCCCCCCCTCCTGATCACAAACTCTTTACGCTGCGAGCAGTCTCACTGACGAACCTGAAACTGATTTAAAATGTCAGCAAAGGTAAAGGGTGACAAACACTGGCAAATGAACCAAAAGCAGCCGTGCTGCTGGTGTACTGTAAAAGAGCCTTTGAGTTTTGTTGGTTATAGATGTTTCATCCAAAGACAGACTTTCCATACAATGCACCGATGAACCCCATTGTTCAAGGGTAAACAGTAGCTTAATTCAATATGAGGTCTGAGCTTCATTAGTCACCCAGGCTCTTAGATCGTCCCTCTGTTTGATGTCATATAAAAACTCCTGGGATAAACATCATTCAGAAAAATCATTAACATTTATGTCATAGCTGCCTGTCTGCATACCTAAACAGACCATTTTTATGCTGGTATAGATAAGCTACCAGCCACAATCAGGGATCACTGACAGGAAGTAAAAAGACCTTTGCAAGTTTGAAATGCTATAAAGAGACTTTCAGCTTCAATGAATCATTAATCCATGTCAGTGGATTTTCATTTCCAGAGCTAAAGACAATCTGAAATCTTAGAATAAATTCAAACTTATCCCTTCAAGGTTTTATCAAAGCTCTATCTCTCACTTCTCTGACAGAAGAGCCGAGTTCAGGCTAACAGCTCAGAGGCTCCTTCTGCAGCGGAATTCATGGCAAACAGAAGGTGGCTCGCAGAAATGAATTATTCAGCAGCTTAAAAGCCAAATATCACATGCCATATCTGCCTCTAAAGTAGAGTTTAATAGAGAGGGAGGAGATGCTCGAGTAAATTTTGTATGTATGGGAAATGCTTCTCCAAACTGCAGCTGAGGTTTAAACCCTCTGCACAGAGGTGTAATTCTGACAATGTTGACAGCATCAAAATGACACTGCAGCGGCTTCCAAACTTGTGCTGAATACATAAACTAATGCACATGGCGAGCTCACCGGAAGTATTCACACTGCTTGAACTTTGTCACACAAAAACTAAGTACTGTATGCCATTTTAACTGTTAAAAAACAGTAGACTTTTGAGGTAGAGTGAAAATTAAGCAGTTACCGTAATTTTCGGACTATTAGCCGCACCTGAATATAAGCCGCAGGAGCTATATTGCATGATTTGTACATATATAAGTCGAACCGGACTATAAGCAGCAGGTTTTTTATGTTTAACACAAACTGTCTTGCGTTCGCAATGTCTGTCTTTCTCGCTGTCGTTCTGTCTTGAACCACTGGCGGTAGAAGTCTGATTCCGGAGGACCTCCGCATTCCTGCGCGCGAGACTACCGTACTTGTGTGTTGAAGTAAATGTGACGTCAACATGGTGGATGGTAAAATCCATAGATTTAGGTATTACCCTAGTGGCCGTTAACTGTAAAAGTCCATAGATAAGCCGCATTGTTATATTATCCGCAGGTCGAAAATGGGGAAAAAGTGGCGGCTTATAGTCCGAAAATTACGGTATTTTTTAATTTTGGCTAATAAAATTCTTGAAAGCATGCAGCACATTTGGATTTCCTTTTTTTCATTTTTTTGTATCACAGCTTTTGGCATATTGTTTTAACAGATGTAGGCTGTTTTTTTTTTTTTTTTTACTTTACATGTGTACAATTAAAATCAATCTCAGTAAACTTTGATCGAGTCTTTCTGAGGATCAATTTTTTAAGTCTTTCCTCAAACTCTCTTTGAAGAAAATCTTTCCATCGTGGCTCTAGTTTTGGTCATTATAGTTTCAGCTGTGTAGTCTCCAAATGGTATTCTTACTCTCACCAGTAAGTTAAGAAAACTACCCCCCTAGTATGATGCCACCATCACCATGCTCCACCCTTGTGCTTAGTGTGATCCATCATACAAAATCTCATTGATGAATACATTAAAAGCTGTTTTTAATTGGGTGTAATGTAAAAGGTTTTGAGTGGTGTAAATGTTTGCAAGACACCAAAGTAAAGAATAATCCACATATCAAGCCAACATTTCTTTAACCTACCATTGTTTACCAAAATATTCAGTGGCAGCTTCCTCTTCTTGAAGCTTTCAGCAAATTGACGGATCGATTGCAATGAAGCCAGGTCCAATTTTCCAAACTCCACTGAAACAGACGGAAACACACAGAAGAGTGAGAGCGATTTAAAACGGATTATTGGTGTGAGCAGTTCTGCCAGTAGAACATCAAAGCGTGTATTAGCGGGTTCTCCCCACAGTGTTCCCACTGCTCTGCTTCAGTCCATTATTTCACATCTAAAATGACTCATTCTTTCTAAACCCATCGTAGCTTAACACATAACTATCGAAGCTCTAATGGTTGATAAGATAAAGGTAAGAGAGGCTTACTTAGCAGCCAAGATGGCTCTGTAGTTTTGTGCTGACTTATCTTTTAACAGCATTTCTGCACATTTTTCATGTCCCAAATTTCCAAGACTTAAATCAGCAAATTCTTCATCAACTTCTCAAAGCATAACTATAAAATGTAACCATGGAGGATTATGTGTGCTAAGCTGAGACTAATTCTCAGATTTTGCTCAAAGCTAAAAAAGTTAGTGAGCCAGAAAGAAAGGATGGAATAGAAAGCTTGGAAGAAATTAAATGAAAAAAGAAAGAAGCAAAAAAAAAAAAAAAAGCTTTTTGCTTTGCTTAGACAGAAGGAAGGAAAAATGACAGGAGACAAAGGAGAACAAGGAAAATGATTTTTTCCATCTATCCTCCTTTTTTCTTATCATTATTCACACCTGGAAACTTTCTAAGCTTTAAACAAAGTATGACATCACTTCTGGACCAAATATAAAGGCCTATAACTCAGTCCCAGAATTGAATTAACAGTATTTAGCAAAACAGTTCAAATATGCTGCATATTGTTTTTATCTGGAGGATATTATGGTATGTATTTTTTTGTGATAACAGAGAGACAGCCATCTAACCAGTTAAATTATTGTTTTTTATTGTTTTGCTAAAGCAGTTTCCAACTTTGATTCAAAAACACTTTTTTAAAGCTTTTTCTGTTGTATTTTAATAATAACACAACTGGAGATTAACAATAAGAAAAAAAAACCTATGCAGACAAAAAGGAAAATCCTATTACAATTTTTTTTCCTTATGAACACTGATAATGTGGGCCCTTATTTTCACATGGTAAAATAAATCTTTTATTTGCTTTCATCAAAGAAGCTTATTTCTCCAACAGCTTTCTGTTCTTCAGAAATTAGGACGTAACTCTAAAACCTGCTATACAAATTTCAAAACCAAGAATGCATCAGTTTGTTTCGATCTAAATAATTTGTAAATCTCAAATATAATAATACAGACTTATTACACTTATTCAATAGCTCCCCCGAAAAAATGTAAAATGTACCGGAGCACTGACTGTTTAACCTTCTGCCCTTTTTTTTGGCTTTTTTCCTTAATTTACAGTTTTAATAATTTCATTGTTCAGTGCAGAGCCTTTTTTATACTTTCTTTCTTTACGTCTTAAATACCAGCCTTGTTTTCATGTTCTGCTTAGATTGAAAAGCACTCTAATCTCAATCTGCCAAATATATAAATCATTTTAAGCATAACCTTATGGGTAGGGGTGGAAATTGCCAAAGAAGTCACGATTCGATTCGAATAATGAACAAATGCCGATGCTGTTCTATAACGATGCATCACGATATTTGAAATATTTTCATTGAACACTGTTAGAAAAAAAATGCAGCCATTACCAGTGGCTGACTGGCTGTGAATGATCTGGATAGTGTCTTCAATTGATACATAACTGAAAGCAACTGAATTCATACATAGCTGTATTTATTGAAATGACTTTTGGAGGTATTGCCATGAAAACAAATACTGGACACAAATATTAATGTTACTGGAGTGGAAACACAAAAAAAAGTGCTTAGGATTGATAAAAGTTAAAATAAAAAAATAAGGATAATCAGTGCCGTTTACATGGCCTCAGTGGTCCTTTAATCCAATGAAATGAAACATTCAAATGTATGAAATTTCCCCTTTTGCAAATTACATGCTTCATATCAATTTCGTTTTTACCTTCTTTGCTTTTAAAGCCAAAATGCATCCAAACATCTGACTTGAAACGTTATGGAGCCGGGGGTGAATTTTCTCAGTCTCCTCCATATTTTGTCTATGAATGACTCGTGGCAGTATCCCACGGCCGGAAATGCTTGTGACACAAGGCAGCCGCCGTCAACGCATCCGCAGCGACATCTACTGGACTGGAAGTTGTATTCCACTTGTTTATGGCTGATGTGCACCAACCATTCATGTATTTTATTGATTCCTTTTTTTAAATTAAGAATCAATAATTGGCGTCAAGAATCCATGCAGTAGATCATAAAAATTAGAATCGCGATGCATCGTCATGACGATTATTTTGCACACCCCTACTTATGGTTCATTTTAACTTAATTTTAGTTCATAATGGGATCTGTTTTACCGAATGAAACCCACTAACCGAACGATTGAGGATGAAATCTGATCATTCCTCTATCAACAAATCTAAAACATCTCTACTCCCATGTCTAGCTGAGTGGAGCTGAGGTGCAGTAAGCGATGCTGAGGGTATTAACGTTTGTCAGGATGTCTTCCTGCTGCGCTGCTTTTTCCTCCAGCTCAGACACTCAGGCTAGAACCACACCGCAGTCAGAATCAGGTAAGTAATGTATATAATTGTATTATATCTCAGAAGTTCAGAATATTTCATCCAGAACTCTTAGTAAGCTTATTTATAACATGCAAACTGCAATGATCCTTCCTCTTAAAAAAATAGGAATCGAAAATCGACAGGAACTGGAATCGAAACCAGGAATCCGAACTGGAACGTTCAAATTCAAACGGTGTCCAACTCTGGATGTAACGCCGAGTGGGAAAGAAATACACGGAACAAGCTGAAAGAAATGAACCAGTCTCTGGACCTCTGTGAGGCAGTGGGTGAGAGGATTATGCGTGCAAAGCCGACACCCATTATGGACGACATCTCTCATCCTCTCCATAACATCGTAGGAGCTCTGAGCTGCTCCTCCAGCAGCAGGGTGCAGCAACTAATGCGCAGCGCTGTTCTCAGAGATCCTTCACCCCTCAGCATCCAACACTGAGCAATAAATCATACAAGTCTTCATTGCTCACTGTGATATCAATGTAAATATGCCATGCTGTCTTCTCAATGTAGATACATCATATATTAATGCAATATGTGCATTAATTCCAGACAAATATCTGTTATCATTGTTTATATACAGCTATGAAGAAAGATCCATCCTTTTTTTGCATATACTATTTCTATATAATATCTCATATTCTTGTTTTATTCAAAACTTATCCCGTTACTTTCTTTTTTTTGGTGCAGATATTCCCAGATGTTTCATTAAGACAACATTCCTGTTGTGGGTTGAAGAAAGTTTTATCCAATTCTTTGTTTTTCTACTCCCACTTGATCCAATTTCTGATTTTTGTTGGAGTGTAAAATAAGAAAAACTGCATTTTGTTAGAGGACAGTCAGACACATTTTAAACATATATTCGACGATAAGAGACCACAATGGCACATTTTCTTAATCAGATTAACTTTTTTCTTTCTTTTTTTATGAGAAAATACATTATTTCCAATGCTTGTAATCCCCTGCTCTACTTTGGCTGACAGATTTATGGAATCACCAATAACAGAAGCATCATACAAAGATGGCACGTCGTGCCTCCTATTCTAAATGTTTTATTTTACTGTACTTATAGCAACATGACTGTAATATAAAATAAAGCTAGCAGCATTAGACTGAATACTGCCTGAGTATATAAAAAATGTTAAGAGTGGAACTAAAAGCTCATTCAGTTTGACAAGTATGCCTAAAACTACTTAAAGCCTTTGGTATTCAGAGTTTGAGTAGTTTTATTAGTGATGTCATTTTAAAGACTTTAATCCACCCCCTTGTGAATAGTGAATATGCTAAAAGCACTTTCCGTACATCCCTGATTATATAAATACAATATATTCCTTGCTCAGTATTTTTTGTTTCCTCTGAAAGGTTCAACACAGACCAACAGAAGATTGTGACTTCCTAACAAAGGGCAATGATAAACTGTGTCTCTCTATAACCAGAGAATGTCTGAAGAGCTTCCAATTTAATGGCCAAAGACAGAGAGAGGACGGAGAGGGAACAGGAGAGAGGAGATTCGATGGGACTGATAAAAATGGCTGTAGAGACGGTGGGAGAGCGGCTGATCGAGATCTGATAGCAGACTTATCTCCAGGCCGTGCCATTCACCTCTTTCTGACTGCATGTGTGAGATTGAAAGGGTATGGGGAGAAAATAATGAAAAAAGGGGAGGGAGGGGGTGTATTTAAATGGCTTCAAGCATTCATTTGCCTCTTTTTTTTGTGGATGCATTTACCCTTCAAGAAAGCAGAGGAATTTCTATACATTTGTCCGCCATTGTGCCATTACTCATGTCCACCTGAAAAGATGTTCGGCAACCATTTTAAAAAACAGCAGTTGAAATAATATCTATCTATCTATCATAAAGACATTTGACTATGTTGCTTGAATTACATCTATAGTAAGAAGTTGCTAAATATTTTTATGATCTTATATGAGGTGATCAGTGATCACAGGTTTAAACTGTTTTTTAAACATTTATGTCCATAAATTCATGAAAATAACTGACAACAAAAAAAAAACAAAAAAAACAAAAACAAACCAAGAAAAATTATCTCTACAGGTTTGAAATAGAAGAAGAGAAATACAAATTGGCAAAAACAAAAAAGAATTGTATCAGTAAAAAGACTTAAATTACAGATAAATTATATACTAAATCTACTAGTCTTTCCAATTGATTGTAATGAAGTGTTTGTAATATAGTTAACTGCACTCCATGCTCTACTTTGTCCAGAATAACAGACCAATTTTGCATCCCGCAAGCAGGAAGGGGACTTTTCAAATTGTCCAGATGGGAGTCAACTGGGTGAATGCCCTAGAACACTGCATACTAGTAGAGCTGGTAGAGCCGGATTTTAACAGTCAGTGGAAACTGCTAGAAAGAATCAGATAACTACGGATGTGACACCAAGATATTTATTTTTTATAAGAAAATCTGTGCATTAAAA